TGGACTTGTTGATCTGCTCAGGTCCCTTCCAAACCTACCAACTATGAAACTATGAACTATATAAGAGGTGCCCCCATCGCCCATTTTGACAAAACAAGTTTGTTGTTGGGTATGAATGCAGAACAGCTATCACATTTGCCAGCATAGTTCCTGCATTGCTAGTGTCCAATCCAGTGCTTTGTAAAGCTCTTTGATATACACATAGTGTAAAACAGGGCCCCTGTAAAACCAGATTCTGTTCTGTAAGCATCACAAATATCTATTGCCTAATCAAGTGTAATATCCAATGTGAGAATAAACAGAGAGATCACAGGAGACATATTTGAAAGAGAGCAAATATAACATTAAAGTGAGAGAGCGAGAATGAGAGAGTGGAAAGTGTATTAAAGTTAATAAAGCATTGCAGTAGTGGGGATCACATTTCACTGTGAAGGAATCTAATTTAGTGACTCATAATTGGAGGATAACCATCCTGCTGCAGTGAAGCTCACTGTTCGTTTTGCCAAACTCTCAAAGTCTCTTGGTTTTCCTTGTGAGCTTGTTCTGAGAAAGAGAATCCAGAAGAAAGGCTGGAAACAATTGAAATTTCATCCCCACAGTCCTTTCAGTCTATAAGTAGATTTGGTTCCTTCTGTGAATATTTATTATCTATTTATTTATCTGATGGTATTAATGCAGTGTGTGCACTCCCTGTCTGGCCTGGAAATAAGAGACCATGAACTGAACTTAAACTTTCTTCTAAGCACTATCAGGAGAAAACAGTTCTAAACAGTACAAGTAGAAAACTAGCCGTGAGTTGACCACACAAACAACAGTGTTCTATAATCAGGTATTGACTCCATGCAGGGCAACAGAACATAAAGCTGGATTGTTTTCAACCTTCTCCAAGGTCCTGTCAGTCTCATTACTGCTGTTATGGATAAACTGTCTGTGCACCTGGAGAGGGAAGGAGGTTTGATAGAAGTATGTTAAGTAATGACCAGTACAGGGATATCCAGTTGGTTACTTCTATTTTATCTTCTCTGCAACACAAGAACAAGATGATGACAGCTGGTGTCGCTGAAAGGAAATTCTGGTATAGCTATCATTTAAGTCACTGTTGCAGAATGGATTATTAAGATGAATAGCTTCATGAGATCCATCCATTTAATGAACAGCCTTCCATAATTTGAAATGCATAAAGCTCCTCTGAGAGAGTGAAATGGTCTCTTGAGCTGGGTACGGGCCTGAGAACCAGGAGTGCTCGAGTTCTAATTCCAGCGAGCCTTTGTTTCCTTGGTGGTTGTAGGATAGTCATAGATTAAGGACAGTGCTCTGGTTTCCAGATCTGTAAAGTGATGATGATAATACCTCAAAGAGGTATTATGAAGATTAGTTAGTTAAAGTTTTTAAAGGGCTTTGAAAATGAAAGGCACGATATAAATGTTAAGTCTTATTAAAGCAAGACTGAATAAACTATCAACTGTCCTGCAGGGAGCCATCTGACACAGCCAGGGATTGAACTGATGACCTGATAGGTCTTTCCCATTTCTAACTGTTATGTTTAAAAAAAGAAGTTGACATTTTCAGGTTGTGGCTCACAGGAAGATCTGCAGTTACACCACCTGGCAATGAACATTTATAAGGGACAATCAGTTTTATACTTCAGGCTAAAGATGGCCCCTAAATGGGTTTAGGAGGAAGAGTCTCCCATGTGCTATATAGCAATGCATAATTGGCCATCTGTACTATGAGCCATGCTGATGAATTGTGTTTCTACTCCCACAAAATGGCTTAGGTGTAGTTACCGTGGGCATACTCACATGCCCTGTCCCTGCCAGTGTGACATGACTTACATCTATGGGGAAGGGGGGGGCACACAGTGAGTTGAGAGGGGAGTTCTGCCTCCAAGAGCTTTTCAGTCAGTCTTTGGCCTCTCAGCTTAATACTGCCCAAAGGGAAAACTGGTGATAAGTGTGTGACAATAGCTTTTGTGCTGGAGACATACACACAGACACAGGGCTGACAGCACCACCTTGTTTCACAAAGGCAGCTGAATAGCCATGAGAGGACAATAATTTTCTATTACTGTTGGCTTGAGTCTAAGGTAAAACCAGGCCTTAGTGATGACAAGTTGTGTATTCTTTGCTGAATCCCTTTAACTTTTCACTCTCTTTCTTCTCTCTTCCTACCTCTGTCTTCCTCTGAACTCTTAAACAAAGGTTGCTCCTGGATGGTTTCATCCAAAGCCCACTGAAATTAATGGAGAGACTCTTGTTGATTTTTTGTGGAGTTTGGACTAGGTCCAGGTGCTGGACACCAGCATGGACCAAAAGTCTGACTAGAAGTGGGGCTTTTGCACCCCATGGATCAATGATCTGCCTTGAAGGCTGATCGCTGAATGGATTTGTTAGTTAATCACTTTCTCTTTCCTTCTCTCTTCTCTTTTTTTTTTTAGGGAGTGTAAGAGCTGAAGATGAGGCCGAGGGCAGAGTGCTATTCTCCACAGTTTTGGCTGGTGTTGGCAGTCCTAGCAACGACGGGTGGTGGGGCCCGTGCCCAGAAGAGCCACCCCAGCATTGGTGTTGCTGTCATTCTCGTGGGTACCTCAGACGAAGTGGCCATCAAGGATGCCCACGAGAAAGATGACTTCCATCACCTGTCAGTGGTGCCCCGGGTCGAACTGGTGGCCATGAATGAGACAGACCCCAAAAGCATCATCACTCGCATCTGTGACCTCATGTCAGACCGGAAGATTCAAGGTGTGGTGTTTGCTGATGACACAGACCAGGAAGCCATTGCCCAGATCCTGGACTTCATTTCTGCCCAGACACTCACACCCATCCTGGGCATCCATGGAGGCTCCTCCATGATAATGGCAGACAAGGTAGAAATGAGCTTTCTTCCATGATGAATCTGAAGGGTTACGCTTCATATACTGAGAAATAACCTATCAGGTAGCCAAGTGGTTATGGGGCTGGAGAGATTTGCTTCAAGAAAAAATTAAAAGAACCAAATATATGTAGCACAGTTGCATTACAGCTAAGAGGAGCATACTATCTGTGCAGAATTATCTGAAGTATACAAAGACCAAGGAGAGAAGAGCTGTGGAAAGGGATCTGCTGTGGAATGGGATTTCAATACTTTTTTTTTCATTGTAAAGCATAAAGAACCCTTTAGAGTTGTGATTTTTTTTTAAGATTCCCTCGCCCCCCTTTTATTTTACCTTAGAAATTTCAGGATTTGGCTGGGAGGGGTCCCGGTCCTTTGGGAGGTCTCAGGCATGGTTACTGTGACCTCTCACATCTTAATTGAAAGAGGGTGAGGAGCGAAGGTTTAATAAAGCCACCCTCTTTCCAAAACATTAATTACTTATTGGAGTTAAATAGGTATTAACAAGCAAACAAAACCGCAGGACAGACCAGTCTGACTAATGATCCTTTTTCATTTCCATTTAGCATATCTTTCGTTTTGTTTTGTTATTTTAATTCCACTAGTTTCTCAGTCAACAAACTGCATTTCAGCAAAGATAAGACTTGAGTTTTTACTGCAGAAAGAAAACAGTTCCCCTCTCTAACCTTCCCTCCAGTTGGCCAGATTCCCTGTGAACACAGTAAAGGGGTGGGAGTGCAGCCAGTTCTGGCCTGTTGATATTTCCCCTAGCTTAGCAGAGCTGTCATCTGGCAGAGTCAACGTAGCTGGACCCAGCACTGACTCTCATGTGGCACAGGTGTAGAGGAAGTGGTAGGCATGGGATGAGTTGCAGCATACTCCAGCAATCTCCATGTGGCATACGTTTAGTCCCTTGAGGCCACTGTCAGCCAGAATCAGCTGCAGTCGGCCCTTGGCTGTTCTATCCTAGACAGGAGTTAGGGTATAGTAGCCCCATTCTTCTGCACCAAGTGCTTCTCTCTGTAAAAAAGCCTACAGGCCAGTGGCTTTTGACAAATCCCGTGCTTTTTCTCTTTGCAGATCAACTTTAAGGTATCTGAGAGTTATAACAAGACACAATCAGATGTAATTGCATGAGGGAAAATGTAAGCTGGCCATTAAGGAAACATTTCCTTAGAATGATTTCCGTTAGCCTGAGAAATTTGAACTAACTGATTTTTCGTCTTGTGAATAATTAATCCATTTTTTGCATAGTTAGGAATAAATTAATGACAAATACCTTTTTTCCCCTCATTATTTGAGCAGCTTTATAGTTGGACAAATAACATTCAGGAAGTAATTTATTTGTTTTTTTTAATCAGTCTTTGAATGAAAATAATACATTTTTCAAAAACACTTTTTTTCTTGCCAGCTGATCAGCTCTGTATACCATGGCCCCACCCAGCCCTTTCCATATGAGAGGAGAATCTGTCAACAGCTCTGTGGGCTTGATTTGCTATGGCCTTGCACTTCGGTCAGTCAGTGAAACTAGGGAAAAAAAGATACAGAACATGCCTGGAATGGAACGGTAGCATTTTACACTGGCTGTACACAGGTGCAGATGACAACACTGGATACAATGCACTGGAAAATTGGGTCCCTTGGTTTTAAATTTGGTGGTCCATAGTTTGATTGTGAACAATATCACTGACGGTGGATTTAAAGCACATTTATAGTTGTAGTGGAATTTGGCTCATTGAGTTTTCATATATTTATATTCATGTAATATATATATATATATTATACCTGCTCATGGATTTTCCCCTGGGAGGGCAACATGTGGTCCTAATGTTCTATGTTGCCCATTGATTTCTACAGGGAATATTGGTAGCGGGCAGGACACTGGGGGGGGTTGAAGACTGGGGTCTCTTTTCTCTGCAAAATTCCTTTTTACCTCATTCCCCTTTTGTACGTTTGTGAGCAGCTTAAAGTTTCCAGTTTTATAAAAAAATCTAGAAGATTCTTTTTTTAAAAAAAAACATAACTCAAAATGGTTGACTTCATAAGTGGGTAATCCTTAATAGATAAGAGCTACTTGGTAAATTGAATAGTATATATGTGTGTGTGTAAATATAGGGAGGGATAGAAAGAGAGCTGTTCAAATATACACACAGTATTATATTTCATTAAAAATAATGAAGTTATACTACTAAGTGCTTAATGATCCATTTCCACACAGCTGAATGATAATGTCTCATCTCGATTGTTTTTTAGTCAGATTACTCTAAATGAGTTGTTCAGTTATGGCATGATCCTGCAAGGCGCTCTGTACTTCCTGTGAGGTGCTGAATGTCCTTAACTTCCACAGAAATCAGTTGTGGCAGACTATGCAGCCTTTCAGAGATCCAGACCCTTATTTTGCAACTCCATAATGGTGCACCTATTTTATGCACACCTGTAGTAAACCGCAGATCAAAATCTGTGAAACTGCATAAAGTAAACTGCGCAGTTTCTTAGTGTTTTTTTAAACCATTAAAAAAAAAAGGTTCATACCATGTTCTCTTGCAAAAGATGCACATGAAATTCTGATTTACTGCCATTGGAATTTCATGGCTTTGGCTCAGCAAATTTGAGTCCAAGTACAAACAATTTATTTTGATGCAACATTAAGTTGGACAGTGTGGAACCCAAAAGGTAGGAGATTAAAAAATAAATCCAACAAGATTCCAACTTAAAAGTTGACTCTACCACATTGTGCATATTATGTGTGACAGGTTAGCTTATTAAATCTGCAGCACTTACTTCCCTTAAGGGTCAGATAATAAATGCTGCATTACACAAATAGATGCATTAGTGAATTTTCAGGACCTCAGCTGGTTGGACTAGAATCACTCTTAGACACCTAAGTCCACTTAGATGCCCAATAGGTGGAATAGAATCTGGTCCTGAGTGTAATGTAGCAGAGTTAATTATGCTGTTGGACTTCTATTTTTGCATTATTTTGACTGGCTTTTGTTCAAATTCATATCCTTAGTATTATATTAATTTTGTTTTTATATATATAATAATGATTTTTACTGGATCTTTTTGGAATTATAACTATTTGTGTGGTGGGTGTATGCATATATGTATATATAGTCTTTTGCATACATTTTTATTCTTTCTTTTCTTAGTGCTAATGCATCTATTTCCACCTCTTTAATATGTGCATTACATCTATAATTTAGCACTGAAGAAAATGGCTAAGTAATCTCTTTGGATATTGAGCCCAGTATTTATCTTTGGGAACAAGTATAGCTCAGGCACCACCAGTACAAGCTTCTTACCAGTACAATGTACCTGAAACTTTCTGTGAAGATACCACCCTAAGGAGTAAAAAACTTGCTGAATTATCACTGCCAATTCAATCCTTGCAGTCTCTTATGATTATCAGCGTTATGGTGCCAGCTATTGCTTGCTGTAAATATTTTAATTCAGACGTCTGTCACCTAGGAAATGGACTTAGACCACAGAATCCTTTTGGAAAGTTCGTGACTCGGAAGGAGATCATTTTCAGTTACTACTGATCTGTTAACTTGGAATAGGTGACATGGAGGTGATAATCCACCATATCCAACCTCTTGTACTGTGGATCAAAAAACTTGTGTTTGTGGAACTCCTTAATCTTTTCACTTTTCTCAAAATTGCTACCCAAACCTCACTTATTCTTGTTTTGTTTTTGTTTTATATGAACTGTTTTTTTTTTCACTCCACCTAATGGCTTTCTCTAATCATGTGCTGGGGATGGAGTTTCTCTTTTCTCTTTATTTGGGTTTTAAGTAGAAATTCTGTCCTGCTGTAGCATGGAAGCAGCTGATTGACAGGGATGAGTTGCAGCAGAAAGTAAACCATCAAGGTTGCAAACCAGGTTTCATTCTGATAAGCAACTAAAATGGTATCTTGTACTGGCAGACCTAAGATAGGAAATCTAGGAGGGACTTTTCCTCATGAAATTTTTAATATTTTCCACTATCACTTTTGGCCAGAACTTAGAAGCAAAGAGACCTTCGTGGAAATGAAAAATATAACAAAAGAAAAGAAAATGAATTGTTTATTCTGGTTTGGGCCAATTACAATTGTATCAAATATGGTTTAGTTACATTCCAGAAAAACAAACCACTTGGCTAACTGGTGTCTTTAATTATTAAATATAATTTATTTTTGATAGGAGGGAAAGCAACCCAGTTAATGATGGAAGGGGAAAGAGGAGGAGCAGAAAATGCCTTGGGGACTGTTGTAGTACTGCCAAGAAATCTCATTTCTGAACAGATGTGCCCCCTGGTATGTCATCCCAGGTCCTGCACATCGCTCTTGCCAGTGCTCACTCTGAGTAGCCTTACAATAATGCAGTTGTGCACATGCCATGCAAGGGAAAATACTGGGTAAAGTTACAGGGATTGTATAATTAAAACTCAACAGCTTTTTTTTCAGGAGCCCTCTATCCAGTACGTGTGCTGAAACCAAGAGAAAACACAGAAACAGTACGGTTAAATAAGGACCTGTGGTTAGTGTAATTAAGAAAATCTTTAACTTTCAAACTTTCAGAGGTAGCTAGCCAGGGCTGTGTGGAGAATGGAAATCCTGTTTCATGGAGCATTTTTAGATTTCAGAATTTGTTTTCATTCTAATTAGAAATGAAACCTGAACATTTCAAAATTGCCTGTGAAAGAAGTTTTGGAAGAATGCTCATTTTGCTTGACTCAAAGCACTCCTAAAGACCTAAAGAAACTGTGGAATCTCAATCCCTGGAAATTGTCAACATCAGGTTAGATAGAACCTTGGCTGGGATGGTTTAGTCAGGCATGATCCTGCCCAGTGCAGGGGGCTGGGCTAGATGCCCTCATGAGATCCCTTCCAGCCCTACTTTCCTATGAACCTAGTTTATTTAGACAAAACTGAGGACTTTGTTTTGATTTCCATTTTATTTTACATTACATTTTATTATTATACCTAAAAATACAATCTCACAGAATTTTG